TAGACATTGGGCACATTATTAATGCGCACACTCTATGCCGACACATATTTCAAACGTGTTATGCGGTATAACCTATCGGAGAAGTATACCAAATTCAGATTGCTTGTATCAATCAAAAAGGAGTCTAACAACTCTCGATGGGCACAGTCTATTAGAGTTTAGTAGAGGATATCGAGGGCCTGCAAAGTGCTGGCCTAGCAACCGAAAGTGAAGCTGCAGCTCGAGGGAACACATGCGCTCCCAGATTTTTTAGATTTCAAAAAAAGACGTAGAACAACGACGTTTTCGGGGTTTAGGCCGACTGTCAAACAGCTTCACATGAGCGAGAGTGGTGGTGCAGAGTATGTGTTTATTGAAACACATATATCTATATATTGTGCATCATGCAGACGTCATACGGAAAATGCGATATTTAACTTTTAGGCAAATTAGTAATTAACCTAAACTGTGATCATAAAACAAAACTGCAATTTAGTAACCGTTTTGGTTACTTTGCAGAAGCACTTTGCAAAAAAGCTATTTAATCGGATCTTCCGCTACCCTCTTTATAGCTTGGTATTATCAAAACCCCAGTCATTAGGGGTAAAAATATTCACATTGAAAATTGAATCTTCATCCAATAGTGTTTTTTTTATTTTAATAAGTCCCAGTTTTAATAAGTCGAATCGTGTGTAGCTGCAATGTTTGAATAGGTTGCAGAAAAAATCGACCGTTTTTCTAGCTAGATTATTGCTAGTTGCACAAATTCTGCTTAGGATCAAAACGCGTTACCGGAAAAACGGCTCAGGACTTTCGTTCTGCGAATTCCGATATGAAAAATGCTCGGCGTAGTGAGCAACCATTTATGAGTTAAACAGGAGTGACACGCGAATAACCATGATATCACCATCCAGTATTAAAACGATTTTTACTGTATTAATGAAACATCCAGTATTTAGTAAGTAAGTAAAAGTAACACTTTTAAACTATTTAAAGGAAACTAACTACAGAAAACCTCCATATTTGTGGGCCAGACAAACTGAGAGAAATAATTTACTTCATCGTATATTTGTTTGTGAAACTCTCCATAATTGCGACTAAATCGAGCCAAATTTAGAATGATTAGTCGCGGGTGATGAGAAATGGATTACATATGACAACAAGATGCAACTAGTAAAAATTTATTCCATAGTCCAAGAGCTCCAGAAGGTGATACTATGTGTTTGGTGGGTCTAGAAGGGAATTGCGTATTATGAGTTGCTGCAGCCTGCAAAACAATTGATTTGGTTTTCCACTGTCAACAACTAATGAGATCGCAGGAAACCACCGAAAAATATTATCTGTTTTGGTCTCTGCAGAATTCCATGGATGCTGTCAATTTCAATGAAGAAATGCAGAAATCATTTGTTAATTTTTTTGCCCAAAAATCATATTTTACAGTGATAGTATTATACTATTACCAGAAAAATGGCAAAAGAACTTCGATTAAAATTACGTATATTTACTGTAGTGATGTTATTTTAGTTTAGTAACATCATTTTAAAATACAAAAAATTTGCTTGAATTTCGGCAATGCATTTCCGACACGGTATTATTGCAGTATAAAGACTTCAAAAATAAACTACTGATTGGTACAAACATTATTATAACACTATTTTCACTTTTTACAATGCTCGAAACCTGAATAATCCGATGTCACGACTATACGGAAAGAAACTAGTTTGGGTTTCGAAAGAGTTCATTCTGAATATTTAAATATGAAGCATCAAAATAATACAGGTTAATTTCAAAAAAGTACTGGAAGGCCTGATATTTTTAACTTTATAAATATAAAAAATACAATAACTTATATAGAGGTGTATTAGACAGTAAAGAAACAGGTTCGAATTTTATGTGGTTTAGACTCTTTTGTTTGGAAATTGGCCTTAGACTAGGGTCGTTTGGCCACCGAACAAATCTTACATTTGAAAACAGGTGTTTGATTAGTCTATATTTCAATCAGATCATTTAAAAATAACAGTAATTTTTTATTTTACACAAAGCTAGCACGAAGCGAAGAAATACTGCTGGATTTTCTGGCTAATTTCTACTGGCCAATAAACGTAGTCGATGATTTCACAAAACGACCATTGATAAAAACTTCTATTCCGCTTTTGTTCTGTGATATGAATCTCGTAAAACGCCTTCCACCTCTTTGTAATGCTAAGCGAAAGAGTATAATGTACATAAATGCTGCTACATTACTTTTTGGTTCTTACTCTAATATGAGGCTTCGAATTCGAGGACTCAACCGTTACGTTACGTTTCATGGATTGCTCAAAAAAGCTGAGTATGATTTTGTGATCTCCAGATTTATTAAAATAGATATTAGTCAAAGCTTTAAAGACAATATCTAAAAGATGGCCGAGAGCCCTGACCATTTCTGATCTTATGGCGCTCTTTAAATCAATGATTAATGTTTTTTATTGAACTGATTCGTTTCAGTTACTGAACATTATGACAGAAACAGGCAAAATAGTCGTCTTGTGCGGGATGATTTCAAAACAGCACGACGCGAGCAGACATTTGAGCAGGAAATGCTCGAACGGTCACGACAACAAGAGTAAGTATTGCATAACAGCAATTACTACAAGAAAACACATGCGTGAGAGCGTTTTCTTCGAACCCGGAGATAAACTAGCTTTTATTCACAACAACGATAGAAGGCTTGAATTGATTTTACATTATAATGGCTCTTTCCAGAGTTGTATACTAAATTTGATAATTTACAGAATTTTTCCCTTCCGTCTGTTATGAAAAATTAATGTTCTGTGAGATGTTGCTTGCCCAACCACAAGAGAGTATCGCTTCGTAGGTAATCGAGCTCTTGCCAGGGGTTAACAGAACATAGCCCTACGGGAGCTTATTATTTAACGGTAATAATAGCCGCAACACGCATTGCCTACGACGTTATAATTGTGAACAAACTGTGTGGATACATCGTGGGTTTTACATATGAAGTAATGTAAAAGTGCTACAAAAATATACGCAATATTAAAATATGGGCACCTTTAAAGATAATTAATTTTATATAAACAAATTAGGCTTAACCTAAATAGATTTGGATAATATTAGTGTAACAATATATGATTGTAGAAAGTATAATTTGACTATGATCAATATATTTAATAGGATATATATGAAAAAGTGCTACCGACGCTAGTCAGTTGCTTGAATGCTTCCTTGTCGGCATCTATCGGTTATTTTTGTGAGTCTATCCGAAACTAATGAAAATTAGTTTCAATAGCCAATCATATACATAGCATGATTTATGCTAAAGACGCTTCACCTATCAAGGGCTCTTGAATTTGCTATACTACATGTGAATATGACGGCGATGTCGAAATCCTTGTCTCAGTAAAAACTGGCAAGCTATGAGGAAGTGGATGCTCACAGTTTGCGAAGCGGCGAGTTCCTTCTTGGTGTCAGATGGTCATGCTTCCAACGTAAGTAGGCTGCAGTAAATTACCGATGTTTTAATACAAATAAATTTTAGAACGGGTGCCATTCCTTAGTTACCAAGCAAACGATATAAGAGAAAGAGGTCTAACTTTTCCTAGTGATAGTTTACAATGTTAGGCTGAGGTATTGCGATCAACATATATTTTTTTATGCTCTCATAATAATATCGTAATAACATCTTCATTTGGGGAAAAGTGTTTTTTTCCGACGTCATGTTGCACTGCGACAACGTATCAATTATATTCCACCCCAAGTTCCACCTCCAACAACGTTCGAACGATAGTTCTTCGAGACGTTAGTTTGTCGAGTAGGCTAGCGGCCTATGCGTTCGACCTAGTTTGTTCATTTTAACTATACGTGCACCAAGCGCAATCGTCTGCGTCTGTCGACTGGACAAAAGCTTTCATACACTTCTACTTAAACATCTATATTACGGAGTTCAATCGGATCAGTTCTTCCGTAGAGCAGCCGGACTTATTTAGAAAATTGGGAGATGTATAACATGAAGCATAGTATTAATCAAAACTGTTGCATAATTAATTAGAGTAAAGTCTGAAGAATACGCTGATAGCGAAAAGAGAAGCAAGCTCTTTCAATTATTAGGTTATAATATATCCTAAACCAAAAATAAAAAAATGCGTAGTAACCCCAGGCTAACATGGTTAATAATTTTCCTCAGCGATTTGGTGCAACTAATGGCGTTTTTTTCCTAGACTTTCATTCATTTGTTATAGTAGTGCGGGTGGA